TAATAATAATAATATGATAATAATAATAATAATATTAATAATAATAATAATAATAATAATACTAATAATAATAATAATAATAATAATGATAATATTAATAATAATAATAATAATAATAATTATTATTATAATAATAATGATAATAAATATATAATGTTGTTCTAATTAAAATTAATGCAACAATATCAGCTACAATGAACGTACCATCATCGAGGAAGACGTTCGCCGCCGCTGTGCTGGGAGCGGCCAAGCTGTGCACCTCTGCCGTACAGCTGCTGGGAGGACAGGGTACAGCTGGGAGGACAGGGTACAGCTAGGAGGACAGGTACAGCTGGGAGGACAGGTACAGCTGGGAGGACAGGGTGCAGCTGGGAGGACGATACGCCGTACTACGTATCGTGCCTGTTTAAAAGAACCCTAATTTGTTCTTTATAAATCATTGAAACCATCAGTGGTGAACTGATAAAGTATCTCTCACTGCCAATTTTTTAAATTGCATTTTTACCAAGTTATTGGCTATCGTTCCACATTGAGTGGCCATCATTGAAGAAAAAGACGTTAAAATCCAGTTACTCTTTAAAGGCTAAGATGTAAGACCATCCTGAATGACTAACATGTAAGACCAACTTTAAATATAAGGCGAAAATCGTACAATATTCACTGGAGACTTTATAAAGAGGCAAACATGCAAGACTAACTTGATATACTGACTTGGAAGACTGTCTTGAAAGACTAACCCCAATGGATACTCTAAATACTACTAAAAAATCGTATAATATAATATTTACTGGAGACTTTATAAAGAGGCAAACATGCAAGACTAACTTGATAGACTGAGTTGAAAGACTGTCTTTGAAGACTAACATGTAATGGATTCTCTAAATACTACTCAAAAATCGTATAATATTCACTGGAGACTTTATAAAGAGGCAAACATGCAAGACTAACTTGATAGACTGAGTTGGAAAACTATCTTTAAAGACTAACCCCAAAATGTCCACAAAAAATGTCATGAGGTTGCAGCCAGCGACGCATTTGGCGGCGTCGCAAATTGCGTCGCCAGCGTAAAAATGAAATTTCCGGACCGGGTAAAATAGCGACTTTTTTTCCTTAAAATCCCGCACCACGAGGCGTACTTGCGGTACTTTCTGCCAGGCGTATCATGACGTGTAGTGCGCCGGACCATGCGGCGTATTTTTGGTGCTTACTGCACCTTAACACAGGAAAATACGTTAGCAGAAAACTATATACGCAGGAAACTTTCGTTCACTACACGTAGGATACCCACGCTGGCAGAATACTTCACGTAGGATGCCCACGCTGGCAGAATACTACACGCAGGATACCCACGCTGGCAGAATACTACACGCAGGATACCCACGCTGGCAGAATACTACACGTAGGATACCCACGCTGGCAGAATTCTCCCCATTTTGGCAGGATAATGTGAAGGAATAAAATGGGAATTCTAGACAGACAGGTGAGTTCTGTCCATGAGACGGC